GGAATGCCCCACTCATTTTCTTCATATGATTGCTTTGGATTTGCTTTGTATAATTGACTCTGGATTTGTCACATCTGTTTCCCTTTCCACCCTGCTATAGAAGTCTCCAGTGTCTTTTCCTCATCTGTTGCCTGATTCCCTCTCCTTTTTTTTTTCTCCTTTTTTTTTTCTCTTTTTTCTCCTTTTTTTTCTCCTTTTTTTTTCTCCTTTTTTTCTCTCCTTTTTTTTCTCTCCTTTTTTTTTTCTCCTTTTTTTTTTTTTTTTTTTTCTTTTTTACCATTTACAGTCCACCAAGGAACTGGGGTAAAGAATAATCTGAATGTGCTGTTAGTATGTGATGTTGTAAGGGAAAATAATTGGGTCTTCTCTTGTCTGGGAATGGCTTAGATTTTTTTTTTTTTTTTTCCAGAACACTTTTGCATCGGAATTTATAGTCTGCCTGTGGTAGCAATTGCTGGGTGTTGGGGTTTGTTTTTTTTTTTAAACAGTAATAAATCGGCATTTTTGGTAACTTTTTGGGAATCATCTGTGTTAACTATCAAAAGATGCAACTCCTTTTTTTTTTTTTTTTTTTTTTTTCCTCCTCTCATTCTCACAGAAGCAACCATGGGGTGCATTAAAAGCAAAGAAGATAAAGGTCCAGCCATGAAATACAGAACTGATAATACTCCAGAACCTGTTATTTCCCATGTCAGCCATTATGGATCAGACTCCAGCCAAGCAACACAGTCGCCATCAATAAAGGGATCAGCAGTTAATTTTAATAGTCATTCCATGACTCCTTTTGGAGGGCCCTCAGGAATGACACCCTTTGGAGGAGCATCATCTTCATTTTCAGCTGTGCCAAGTCCATATCCTAGTACTTTAACAGGTGAGTGTTACATAAAATCATGCTGCTATTATCGTTATTGTTATTATTAAAGTTTGACATTCATATTCAAAAAAATACTGTGACCTCTTGCCACACAGAAATAAATTGAAAAATTAAAATAAATTGAGTTTCAGGGGTTTCTGATTTTCAATATCTTTACTGCTCAGATAATAATTCAGCCCGTGTTCACTATGACTGGGGCTTGGGGGTTGGGTGTTCTGGCTTTTGTTTCTGAGGGGGGGTTTAGGATCGCAGCACAGAGAAATTTAAAACTTATTAAAGGCAGTAATAGGAATACTTGATAAGATTGTGTTAGAAGTTCTAAGCTGTTGAAGGGGATGCACATGGGATAATGGCTTTAAACTTTTGGAGAGAGATGCAAAATGAGAAAAACTTCAAATTAAGGAAATTGATATTTTAAACTGATTTTCAGACTTATTTGATCAGCTGTAAGTTACTTATATTAATGCAATATTGAATCTGTTCATTTATAAAGCTGAACAGTATATGCAGTATATTCTCTGTACTTTACTATATGAACAATATGTGTGAAATGAAAGAGCAGAATTCTCATTGTTGGTGGTCATATTAAAACCAAAGTAGAAAATGTAGCAACAGAATTTACAAGGCAGAGACCTTCTTGGTTGAGATATAAAGTCTCTGAAGATACAGCATTTTAAAGCAACATGCACATTTCATGTTATAAACCCACCTTTGTGTCAAAATCTTAAAACTTCAATACAAAAATACTGATTTTGTGCACATGGCTAATTTCAGTAGTTTTGCTGGATATTTTTGAGAGGAAGCTGTAATTTATTCTTTTTCAGAGGAAGAGAGAGGGAAGAGTAGTTTACTCTAGAAGCTTTGCACAGACACTTCAAAAAACACAGTAAATAATTCCTTATTAGTCCATTTCTAGTTTTCTCACAAACCTCTAATGTTAGCACAATTACAGCGCTTAAATGTTTGCTTTGTTACAATGACATTTAAAATCTTTTAAACACAAGAGATTTGAGATCCATGAAAACCCACTGTGACCTTGACATTAAGCAATTCAGGAAACCAAATATGGATTGCCAGGTGATGATCACCTCGTATTCCCTTTTTGGGAATTCATTAAAAACCAAATAACTAAAATGAGCATCTATCTGTCTCAAAATTTTTGAGTCAGCTCTGAATCCCTGTTTTGGATGAACATATGCAGAAATGAAATAAGGGCAGCATTTCTTTTTATTTATTAGTTCTACTGAGGAAAATTTATCGTGCTTCATCTCCTCCAAGAGCCTCTGTATTTCTTCTCACTAGATCTGGTTCTTTGTTCACGTGGGAATCTCCAGCAGTGTGTGCAGGCACTCCTGGGTATTACCAGACATCAGGGACGTAGCCCCCCCACCAGGTACCACAAATCCTTTGCTGCAGAGACCAGAAGGGATGTTCTCTTGCCTGTTCCTGTTCCTGCTGGTAGTTAAGCATGTTATATCTTGGACCAGAGTCAAAGGAGAGATTTCTCATGAAAAGATAGTCTAATAAGTCATCAGTGTGAATTCAGTTATCTGCAGGCAGGCTGATTTGGGTGAACGCTCCCATTATTTTGTGATCAGGTAGAATGATACTACATACGTAATTATTCCTCCTTGTTTTGTAAAACCAGCCCATCCACAAACAAACACACTTCAAAAATAAATAAGTAAATAAAATCGCACCAGCCGTTGTTTGGTACATTCAGTACTGATTTTCAGATCAATCAGAATTGGGTGTTTTTGTGAATGAATGAGATGGCGAACTTCATCTGGCTGTAAGCTTTTTGTATTTGTGACGAATAAAACGCTGGATCGCATTCTGTGGCCCTTTGTTTCTGAAGAGAGGAGAATAGAAGGGCTTGTCAAACAGGACGTAAGTGTCAGTAGTACTTATCCAGTCCATCAGTGATGTCTGACAAGAGGATGATATGGTTGTCATCATGGCCTGTGGAGGCTGAAGAGAGCTGAGCCATCTTTTACTCCTCTAGAGCAGAAAAGGAGGAAAAATCCAAGTTAGTCATGCTGCTCCTCTATTACACATTCTAAGTCATCAGATACTTTGAATTCATAGAATATTACTGAAAATCAAAACAGAAAAATGGACCACTGTTCTTGTCTTCCATGAAGCTGTGTAAGCACTAGTGCTCTGTAATCCTCATGCTGAACAAGAAAGTAGGGTCTCTTCTCCAAAACCAGTCCTAGATTAGAGGATGGAAATACTGACCTAATGAAAGGATAACCTTTAAGGGAAATGTTATGACCACAAGTAGCTTGAACAGCTAAACTAGATCACCTTGCAGTGATTCACAAAGAAAACAGCTGCAAGAGACTTCAAAAATCATTTGAGCAGTATCCGTTTATTTAAAACATTCTGTGCTGATGCTGTTCTCCTGAAGTATTTTATTATTTTTTGCTATGAAATAAATAACACTTGTGAGTGAGAATAAAAAGAGGTTTTGTGGTAGCTGAGGTGTTGAAATCAAAACTTTCCAACGACTGTATATTAGTTTTTCTAATTCTTTCTTTAAAAATAATTGAGTACACAAATATTGATAATTACTGATAATTCTTGTATTGCATTGCTTACGTTTGAATCCATTAGTTTGGCTAGTGCTACACTGTCTAGAGGAATTAATCTCTCTCTTGTTCCCACGTTAGTATCTTTCTAGATGTTGTACAGTTTGTTTTGAAGTTCTTGGAGTCTCCCAGTTTCTTTATATGCAGTTAAAAACTTTTGTGATACTGTGACTTGAGGATATTGATTTTCTTTATCTGCTGAAGAGCTCTCTGGGGATGGTTTATTTCCGTAACATTTGGTTTCTGGTTTTGTGGATATGGTATGTATCCCTCAATTTTCTTGCTCTGTGTAGCAGTTTATGTCACCAAAATAATGCAGTAACATAGTAATGCAGGCAAAAATTTGTGGAACTGTTTTGATTTTTAACTTAGATTAGGAACTGTTAACTCCTAGGGAATATTCTAATGCATTTTCAGTTCATAAATCACACTTCAAAACAAACCCTCAGTTACTCTAACCTCCTGTTGGGATTTTTTTTTTTTTCTGTTTTTCCTAGCGGAACTGTAAATTCATTTCCAGCTGAGGCCTGCTGAGAGACTCTGATCACAGAAAGGCTCTAAATCAAATGAAAATATTTAAGTGATTAGGAGCTCTTGGGTCAGAAAGTGTACGCTGCAAAAGAATATTAGATGTAGACAATACCTGCTGCATTACGTACTCTTCCTTTCTGATCACTGTCATGTTAACTGTAAGATCTAAAATTAGATGCAAAATGTTTCTACTGGTCGTCTTTCATGTATATCCTGGTACATATATGTGCATGTTAGAGATGTAATACTATACATTTAAAAATAAATTACTGCTTGGACTATCATTAGGCTTCCTAAATGTCCATTAGACTGTGAAATAGCATTTCTAGAGCTTAAAAAGTCTTTCTGAATTGCTCATATGCAGTTTTCTATTTTAACTTTCTCCTAGTTACGGTACATCGTTCTTTATTTTTACTCATAACTTGTACGTCTCACATAGCATGTTCTCCTTTCCGTCTTTCTTTTAGCCCAGTTTTAGAGATCAGTTAAGTATAGAAAATGTTTTCCTCCATAAGTATAGGAGCCTTCCTACTATCCATCTCTCACACATGTATTCTGTTTGTGGGACATGTTCGACAGCGTGCCCTATACCAGAAGTGGAATGGGGAAGCAAATTCCTTAGGGTTGGTGGAGTGCAGCTGCTCATCCTGTGACGTTTCTTGGTCCTTGTTCTCTAGAATGCACTGATGGATCATACTCAGCAAAGGTCTATTTCACTGATGGGGACACTTGATGGAATTAAAAAAAATCTTAGTCCTAAAGCAGGGAAACGTCTTTGTTTCCAACAGAACACTTTTATTTCTGGTTCAATTCTTTGCGTAGATCTTGTGTAACTTCAGAAAGTTGGGAACACATCAATTACTTAAGTTCAACAGGAGACTACTTCTGTAAAAATTAGTGGCTGATGGTTCACCACTGTGGCATTGTAGGGTCTTCTAGAATTGCATTTCTTAACAAGATGCTAGCTTAATAAAGAAGCTAGCTTTTTTACTGCTGATGTGTTGTGCAGGTTTCTGTATATAGAATCACAGAATACCAGGTTGGAAGGGACCTCAAGGATCATCTGGTCCAACCTTTCTAGGCAAGAGCACAGTCTAGACAAGAGGCAACCGCATCCCTGAGGAGACTATTCCAATGGTTGACTGGTCTTATTGTGAAAAACTTTCCTCTCATGTCCAGTCGGAATCTGCCCAAGAGTAACTTGTATCTGTTACTCCTTGTCCTCTCCATGTGACTCTTTGAAAAAGTGAGTCTCCATCTTCTTTGTAGCTACCCCTTAGCTACTGATACATGGTGATGAGATCTCGTCTAAGCCTCCTTTTCTCAAGGCTGAACAATCCCAGTTCTCTCAGCCTGTCCTCGTACACCAGGCTTCCCAGTCCTTTGATCATCTTGGTGGCCCTTCTCTAGGCCGCCTCCAGCCTGTCCACATCTTTTTTGTATAGCGGGGACTAGAACTGTACACAGTATTCCGGGCACAGCCTGACAAGCACCGAGTAGAGTGGGATAATGACTTCTTTATCCCCGCTGGTGATGCCCTTTTTGATGCACCCCAGCATCCTGTTGGCCTTCTTGGCTGCAGCAGCACACTGCTCACTCGTATTGAGCCTGCTGTCCACCAGGACCCCCAGGTCCCTTTCCACAGAACTGCTCTCCAGCCAGGTGGATCCCAGCCCACTCTTCCAGCCTATCCAGGCCTTCCTGCAGGGTGGCTTTCCCTTCCAGAGTGTCTGCTCCCCCACTCAATTTGGTGTCATCTGCAAACTTCATCAGGCTACATTGATCCCATCATCCATATCACTTATGAAGGTATTGAATAACACTGGGCCCAATATCAACCCCATTTGAAAAAGAGCTATTTACCACCACCCTTTGGGTGCGGCCTGTCCGCCAATTCCCAAGCCAATATAAGAGCTCTAATTACCAATTTACTTCCAGTGATGTATCTAGCTGCCTTTTGTGGTGTGGAACCATATTTTTAGGGTGTCTATTTATAGGTGTTCCTCTGACTTAAGCTGATTATTGATCCAGCTTCCAAAATGAGATGCAACACAGAGTGTTTAGGTGCTTCCAAATCAAAATTGATGAGTTGTTTCACAGACAAGTCCTTAAATCAAATGTTGCAACATTACTGCTACATCATACGTCTTTTTTTTTTTTTCCTTTTTCCTAAGGTGGTGTTACTGTATTTGTGGCCTTATATGATTATGAAGCTAGAACTACAGATGACCTTTCATTTAAGAAAGGTGAACGGTTCCAGATAATAAATAACACGTAAGTGTTCTCATTCACTGACTTCACTTGCTTGTTGTTGGGAATAAGCAGATCCTCAACTCTTCTTGAAATGTGTGTCCTATTTCAATGAAGAGCAGATTGATGATTTATTTATTTATTTATTTTCTTTCTTGAATGCATACAATGTTCAACAGGCATGGGGTTAAAATACTGATACTGGTAAGACAATAACCTTCAGGCTGAGGTCAGGGTTTGGGTGCAGGTGTAGAACTGTAGTGACTGGGGCAGCCCCAAGCCTCTCCTCCTCAATTGATTGGGTGGCATCCTTCCACTGCCTGCTCTGGCGAGGCACAGCTACCTGATTCGGGGCAGCAGAGGTAGAGACACATACTGTCCCATCCCAGGCTCTGCACCTTGCAGATTCTCTCTGACAGGTTTCCATATCTCTCGGGGAGGTGGGTGCAGCTGGCAGCACTGCACTGCAAATGCCAGAGGCAAGCGCACTGCCTGTAGGCAGGGGCATCTCACCGTGGAAGGGCGTCTAGCTGGCCTCCACAGTAAATCCGTGCTCAGATAGTTTATGAGTAGTTTGATGTTCTAGTTCAATTGCAGCAGCGTTACAGTATTACAGCCTGATTTCTAGAAGTCTAGTGAAAAGGAAATAATTTGTTCACCTTGGAGACTTATTTACACACAGCTTTTGGCTGCGGTAAATGCCTTTGCGATTAAAGTAATACGTTCCCTAAATTTAACCAGCCTTTCATATGTGAGGATGTTATAGGTGCTAGGGAATGATGAACTGTTTGTATGCAGAAGAGATAACTGATGGTTCATTGCAGGGAAGGAGACTGGTGGGAAGCAAGATCCATTGCTACGGGAAAAACAGGCTATATTCCAAGCAATTATGTAGCTCCTGCAGACTCCATTCAAGCAGAAGAGTAAGACATTGTATCCTGTCAATCTGTTCTTATTATCCATTCTACACTTCGTGCCCTGTGGTGATACTTTTCATTTAATTCAGTGTATGTAACATTTAAGGGTAAAGTAGGATAATACTACTAATTAAAAGGTAGCAGTGCTACTTGGATGATGTCAGAGGTGTACTTACTAGTAAGTGTGAGGTGGACACTCATACAAATGTTTTATGCCTGCTTGCTATATGAAGGGCTAAAGGAAAAAGGATGGGAGAATGCGATAATGAAGATAGGAACTGGGGGACATGCACTGTATTTCAAATAAAGCAAAAATGGATGTTTTAAAGAGTTCACACACCATCAACTCTAGGTTTTTATCTGTATTTTGCCAAATGCTAATTCAAGATCAGCTATACCATTGGTAGCACCTAATCTTACTTTCTATAAAAAACTGTTTATGTGGACAGTTATTGCTAATCTATTAATCTATGACAACTTTTTTGGTGAAAAAAATTGTTAGGCACACTAAGAACTACTATGAATTGGGAAAATTGTATTGCTTTGGGTACCAGTACTTCCTACATTTATTTACAAACAAAGATCCAAGAGCACTTACAGAATCACATAAAGTTATTGTGGGAACTGTGGGTCGGGGTACAGTTTCAGGTGGTGCTAGTTCCAAGGGATTAATTGTATCGTTGTACTGGAAATAACAAAGTTCTGCAGCTCTTGCTTCAATATACGGGCATGGTACTGCCAATAAGCAATTCCCTGATGCATGATCTGGGCACTTCTGTGTTTGCCACTGCACTTCTGGGAAAAGTGCCTGATTTCCAAGATGTTTCCTGAATCTCAAGCTGAGACTTTTGCATGTTGGTGCTGCTGTCACCCGGCTCTTTGCTATTGAAAAGTGATTGCATCAAAGATGCGCTGTTATTTTATGCCCCTGAGTTTCAGCTGCTTATAAGATTATTGACCTGAGTTTTTTTTTAAAAAGAAAAAGTTGAGGGTTTTTTGAGTTTTTTTTAAACTATGCAATAAAAGCATTTTGTCATTACAACAGCAGTGGTGGTAAAACGGAAACAGTAGCCCTTTGCAAACTAAGAATGCAGTGTTTCTGCAAGGAACGTATTGCTCCTAAAGACAGGCAAAATGGAGCGGTGGGATTTGTCATAGGTTTATGTGATGATTAGAGGTGAGAGTGAAGGGCGATGAGTGAGGAAGCTTTTTTAAACTGACTTTTAAAGAACTAGTGCTAATTTTATTAAATATCACCACAGCATTTGGATAGAGTTCATTTGCTTTAGAGTTCATTTGTTAGCCCTGGGCTTTGATAGTGTTTGTAGATTTTGTGTTATGATTGCAGTTGGAGTTACAAGTGCAAAAGCAATACACAGCCCAGATCGCTAGGATTTTTCTTGTAAGTGCTCTTTTCTAAGCCTGAAGGCATTGATATCAAAACTTCCGTGTGACAGGATCCATATTATCTATGTGGCTTTTGAATGATGTTGTAATATAAACATTTGAAGCTCATAGAAAAAGTAAACCTTACTATTATTTTATAGATGATGAAATAAATTAATATTTTATAATATAGTTTGTGAATTGTCGTAGTAGTCCAGGGAGGAGGCATTTTGTGTGAAGTAATTACTAGGGTCCAAGTTTGCTTCAGTAAGATTATAGGTTACATCCAAATTGTCTCAAGTGTATGTACCCAATTCTAACTTTGCATATCTACTTAAACAGTCAGACCACAAATACAGTCAGACCACAAATACAACAAAAAGTAAGAATAAGTTTCAAATTCCCAAGTGATTGCGCAGGCCATTCTGTTCACAGGCCAACAAAATGATCCCTCCTTACCTACGTTTTTCCCCCACAAAATGTTTCACCCACAAAACCATTGTTTGCAGCAGTTTCCAATACTACTTTTCTTCTCCCAACACTCATGAAGCCAGATTTTCTTGATGCTATGACAGTCCCAAATGAAAATGTTTGAATTTACACTTTGAATCGTTTTGTGACTTCTGAGATATACAATCAAAATAAAATACAGTTAGAAATAAGTGTTATTCCAAAGTCTGGGGTTTAGCTGAGAGATGGACCTTAAAATTATCACTGGCTCAGGAGACAGCTGTGTGCAGGCTGTTCATCAGGAGGAGCACACTTTGGGAGCACTGAAGAAGAAATTCCTTTTGTGAAAGAACTTAAGGAAAGGAAAAACTGGGGTGTTTTAAAACGTCTGTGTACTTTTGGTATCAGAATGGTGCAACAAAGGAGTGTTACTCAGAGACAAATGATTCCTACCATAGGGTTGTTTCTAAATGATCAGTAGAAAAAAGTGCTCCCTCTGCTGAGGTACAGAAGGACTGGAGGCAATAGACATTGAAACAAAGGCTGTTCCAGATGGTTGTAACAAAAAAGCTTTTTATCCTAGGGACAGCCAGGCAGGGGCACAGGTTGCCCAGGTTGGCTGTACAGGGTCCATCCTTCAACATTTTCAAGGCTGGAGTGGACAGCACCCTGAACAACCAGGTCTGATCTCACAGCTGACCCTGCTTGCAGCAGCAGGACGCTGGACCAGAGACCTCCCAAGGGCCCCTTCCAACCTGAATGACCCATTGTCATGTCCATTGTTAAACCGTCTGAAAAACAGTATTTGCAGATAGAGGCCTCTCTACATGTATTTTGCAAACAACAGAAATGAGAGTCATATAGAAATAGGTCATCTTAATCTTTTGATTATATGGATGTCATTACTTTTGTTGATCTGTAACTTCTTTGGGATATTAGTAGTCCAGTAAATGCTTGAGATTTCTAAACCTTGTGTTTATATGATTACCAAAGCATAGGAAGCTTTTACTTACACGTTTCCTTTAACGTTTTCTAGGTGGTATTTTGGCAAGATGGGCAGGAAGGATGCAGAAAGGCTACTGTTAAATCCTGGGAACCAGCGTGGTATTTTCTTAGTAAGAGAGAGTGAAACCACTAAAGGTATGTATATTTATGTCTGTCCCTTCTCTCCCATTCCCACCCTGCCAAGCTGTCCATGATGACCATTTTTCTGTCTATCACATTTTACATATGCATGTGCACACATGTATGTGTATAATAACAGTTGGGGAGATAGGTTAAATAGATTTTTAAACTTTTGGTGAAGAACCAAGTACGACTTGTTTCCTTAGGTGCTTACTCCCTTTCCATACGTGACTGGGATGAGGTCAGAGGTGATAATGTGAAACACTACAAAATCAGAAAACTTGACAATGGTGGATACTATATCACAACCAGAGCACAATTTGAATCTCTGCAGAAGCTGGTGAAACACTACAGAGGTAAGCCAAATTTCTGGTGTTCCAATGCTACTGTGTGCCTATCATGAGGAAGAAAAACTGCCTGTGTAGCTTATTTTTAAAATTAATAATTATAAAATTCTTTTTTATTTTGAGAAACAGTAGATGGACTAGATCTTTTCATCAACATTAGGATATTACTTTTTTATAGTCTTACCCCTGCTTAATGACAAAGCTTATTTTTTTTCCATTTTCCAGAACATGCCGACGGGCTGTGTCATAAGCTAACAACTGTGTGTCCCACTGTGAAACCACAAACACAGGGACTAGCAAAAGATGCCTGGGAAATTCCTAGAGAATCTTTGAGGCTGGAAGTTAAGTTGGGTCAAGGATGTTTTGGTGAAGTATGGATGGGTAAGAGCTTAATGTGACACTTTTCAGTTGTTCATGTGAATGTTTTAATATTATTCTAAGTAAATCAGTTTTGGGATTTGAAAAGATAATCTGATAAAGAATTGAAGAGAAAAAGTACTAATTACGGTCAGTCACATAAAGGTAAAAATAATATTCAATATAGTTCCAATTTATAATTATATTGTTAGCTAACAAAACAGAAGTGAAATGTGAATAGTTTCAGCAGAAAATCTCTTCAGTATTATAGGGGAGAATAAAATCTAATTTGTTTCTCTAGGAACATGGAATGGAACCACAAAAGTAGCAATCAAGACACTAAAACCTGGTACAATGATGCCCGAAGCTTTCCTGCAGGAGGCTCAGATTATGAAGAAATTACGACATGACAAACTTGTTCCACTATATGCCGTTGTTTCTGAGGAACCAATCTACATCGTCACTGAATTCATGACAAAAGGTGTGTGACAGAATAATTTGAAGATACGATGTTTAAGAGATTATTTAAGATCCCAGCAACAAATTAAATGTTTAATTAACGTTAGGTTTAAGCTGACTGGAGTATAAGTGGTAACTTTGATTAAATTAAAATGAGCAACGCTTGACCTACTTGAAGCAGTTCTGATTTAGATCGTGGGTGGAGGCATGATTTTTTTTGCACATGTGTCACCCTTGCTAATCTTCCAAGTACAAGATTGGGGTTTTTTTTCTCCTCGTTTTTTAGTGTGTACTGCCTGTTACATTTAAGTTGGATGGTATAGCTGGGAATATTATTATGAGAATATGCCTGCCTGTAGACAGATTGTGCTGACAGCAACAGAATCAGTTGAGTTTTGAGGGTTTTTTTCCTAGTTTTTCTTCTCTGGCAGTGTAATAGTAAATTTTAAAAAAGGTTGAGGTTTTATTCCCCAGACTCCTTCCTTTACCTCCTTGTTTCCAGTCTTTCATCCTTCTTCCCCCTGCTGCTGAAACAGAGATTTAGGTTGAATGTAGAAATAAACATCATAAGCATATTAGTGTTAAGAATCAGCAGATTTTCAAGTCAATTATTCCAGTTTTAGAAAATGCAGGCTTCTGTTCAACTCACAGAGAAATTTTGCTTTCCTGGTATGGAATAGAAACTATGTTAAAGTCCAAGAGAGTGACTGCTTGTGTTCAATACTCTGCCGCAAATATGTGAGGGGTTTTTTTCCTGTTTGGATGGGGTTTTTAAGCATTGTATAAGTTTTTGAAAAGGTAGAAAGAAATAGAAAATATAAAAAGTTCCTTCTGTGTTGTTGTTGTTCCTAAATAACGCTAGACAGCCTCTCTGTCAGATCTTAAAGCTGCCATGCAAAATCAGTTTTCATTGTTCAGAAATCAGGTTTTGGCAAGGAATCAGGAAAAAAAATTGCTTTATAGCATTCTGCGTAAGAAAAAGTAAAGATTAAAAGTGGAACTGGGATGTTACCTTGCAAAAGCAGAAGTAAAGAACTGGAAAACTAGTTGCATGTTTGTCTAAATTATGGATTCAACATGTCATTGGAAGTCTCTGTTTTCATCTGAAAAACTTCTTACATTTTACCAAAGAACATAAAACCTCTTTGGTGTTTCATATGTTGAATGTTAGTAGAGCAATTTTTTTTTTTTTTTAACTACACAGTTCCCCAGATTATTTCCAATGTGGACACACTACTAGGGGTCAGCATGAAATCTTTGCTCCTCTTTGGTCCTTTTAGCTCATGAACCAAGATGGCAAAAAGCCTGCAAACACGCATGACAAGCATCAGCAGCAGTGTGGGTCTGGCCTGCCGCACTTTTACTTTCAATGCAAAAATACAGCAACTGACTAAAACCACATCAGAGGTATCTCATTCACGGCTACAGCTGTGAATCCACTGCAAGATCTGCAGTTCAGTGGGGTTTTTTTTCCCCACCATCACCACACATAATTTTGTTGTTGTCATTTTGTCTGTGATGAGACTGATTAGTTATTTAGTCTTCATCAGTTTCTTAAGAAAGAGGTCATGTTCCTGTACCCTTATGGCATAACAACACAAAGAAAGCTGTTAATGTCAGACACAAAGTTTTACCACACGTGTAAAGATTACTGTCTTAAAAGGAGCACAGGTCCTTGGAACCAATTTCAGATATTACTCATGTTGTAATGTTCTGAACATGTTTGCATTATGTAAATGGGAGAAGATAATATATCATAAAGAATGGAAGATACTGTTGTTTTCCCCTGTAAGGAAGAAATAGCAACAAAGTAAAAGCAACAATTTCAGAATCATTTATCTAGTATATAATTAGACCTGGCAGAAAAACTTAAGTAATGGACAGGAGGTTTCTTGTTATTTGATTAAAAATCTCACTGTGGAAAAAAGTCCAACTAGGAAGGGCATTGATACCAGGAATATTGGGGAAAATCCTTATGTATTGCCATATAGCCATCAAGCAGCAGTCTGTTTTATTAGTGTTCACTTATCTGAATTATTGAAATGGATTCCAAAATACTTGGGTAAAACTTGCACTAACTAGTTATCAGGGCAGAGTCAACTCCAGGCATAGTCACTGAGTCATGTATGCCATTAAATGATGGGGTTTCAAACACAGATTTTAGGAGATGAATGTGTAAATCATAACATCTAGGAAACAAAAAAATCTTATTCATGTTTTCATGTCAAATTAATGTTTTGGATTTTTCCTTTCTTTTCTCCCCAAAATGTGTAATCTTTTACAGGCAGCTTGTTAGACTTCCTTAAAGAAGGAGAAGGGAAATACTTAAAACTCCCACAGCTGGTTGATATGGCGGCTCAGGTATGTTGTATAAACCAAGAAAACGGTATTTTGTGCGTAGAGATTTGAAACTATATGAGATACCAACTGAACATAAATACTGAATGCTCTGGCTATTGTATGCCATTTTGTCTTATATTTGTCAAAAAGAAACAGTCCAGTTTCCATTTAGCAGATACTGTATAGCCAGACACTCTGTAATCAATGCTGTCACAAGCTCTTGCTATGCTATACTTCCCAGACTTATACAATGAGAATGGAGCTAAAATAAAGGGGTACAGCTTAATGCTTGGGATAAATGTATATAGTCATGAAAATAATCTTTAATAAAACTTTATTTTTTAAGATTGCTGATGGCATGGCTTACATTGAAAGAATGAACTACATCCACAGGGATCTCCGGGCAGCTAACATTCTTGTAGGAGACAATCTCGTGTGTAAAATAGCAGACTTTGGTTTAGCAAGGTTAATAGAGGACAATGAGTACACTGCAAGACAAGGTAAGACCAATTTATGTACTGAATAAATGAGACCAGTTACCTTCAAATTACTTAAAACTATTACGTTTAGTAGAACGTGGCTGTGTATTCTGTCTGCATGAATAATGATTATGCAATTAAGTGTGCTTTCACAGTTATGTTTTTAGGTGTCTCCCTCACCTACATGCAATTTAAGTAAGTTTGAAATTATCTGGCAGTTTGCTTAAATGTTTTTAAGGGTTTTTTTTCGGGTAAAACTTGCTACAGTTTTGAAGAGAGCTGAGATTCCAGAGAGGTTGCTCATCAGATTCTGAAGATCATCCTACTTTCTGAAACATATTTAGTTAAGAATCCCAGATGTCTTAAGTGCTTCCAAAAATTGTAGCCAGTAGTTGCTGCCCGAGTTTGAAGCTGCTTTCCAGTTTGAAACATTAAAACACTAAACCACCTCAAATTTTGTCAATAAAGCAAAATGTTCTTTTTAAAATATTTTCAAGTGTAAGCAAATGGTGCATAAGCAAGGGAAAATTTGAGTGTCTGTCATTGCAATATTTGTAGGAGCTAAATTTCCAATTAAATGGACTGCTCCAGAAGCAGCGTTGTATGGTCGGTTTACAATCAAGTCAGACGTGTGGTCATTTGGAATTTTACTGACAGAGCTGGTAACAAAGGGGAGAGTGCCATATCCGGGTAAGAGGAAAATTTAATAGATTTTTCTTTTCTTCGTTGTATTCTGTGTTTCTGAAGTTACCTTTTGTATGTTTTGCCTTCATTCAGAGCCCACAGTTGACAAGCAGAGACAAAAACTTAGTCACATTTCACTGGTTCCACTTCACTGGTTCCTTTGTTTACAAAGCTACTCTGTTTTATTTACAGATTAACTATTACATATTTTTAAAGTGTTTTAGGAGAATAGCATATGTAAATGTGACTGATGGTTCATTTCAGATTAGTGGGTATCCTTATGTTTTCCTATCTGTCTGTTCCTGAAATGTCTGCTTTTGACATTTTCCCAGGCTACAGTGAGCCTTGGTAGATTGAACCTGCTGGACCAGTTTTTGAAACTAAACATACGTAACATATTTTGTCAGATATTTCGCTGTGACTGGAATTTGTAAGGCAGTTCTGTTGGGTATAAAATGCCTTTTTCTTGGCGTGATTTCAAATTAAGTGGTCCTTGAATGGAACCTAAGGCAGGCAGAAGGTATTTGTGCTTGATTCTCCTTTTTGAAAGGACAGGCCCAAGACAGTGGGAAAGTTTAGAAATGAGAAAGTATACAAATTGGAGAAGGACCAGGTATTGAGGAATTGCCAGCGTAATGAAATAATTTTCAGAAAATGTATTTAATGCAAAATGTAAAAAATCCATTCATTATAAAGTGCGTGCATTAAAGGTTCTGTTATGGTAGATGCATGTGCATTGCAGCTGGAGAGACACTTGAAAAAACCTTGGAAAACTGTTTTTTGCATGATGTCAATCAGAGCTAACATGCCTTTCTTTTAGGGATGGTGAATCGGGAAGTTCTGGAACAAGTGGAGCGTGGATATAGGATGCCTTGCCCACAAGGCTGCCCAGAGTCTCTTCATGAGTTAATGAAACTGTGTTGGAAGAAGGACCCTGATGAGAGACCAACATTTGAATATATACAGTCTTTCTTGGAGGACTACTTTACTGCTACAGAACCACAGTACCAGCCTGGAGACAATTTATAAGCCAACAGTCTATATAACATGCACAAATCTGCCAAATGTAAAAGACTTGCAAAGAATTCCTGACTTCTATAAGGAATCAAAGGAAAAAAAATCTTCGCTACTTTGCATGCTCTTAATGGCAAACTGGAATTTCATAATGCAGTTGCACAAAACCACTTTTAAAGTGTTATAATCTAATTTACCAATGACATGTTTTTATTTTTTTTCCTCTTTCCCAACTTATTTTCAGGGTCCAAAGGAAGCTTACTGAAAATACGGGGTAGAAAAATGAGTGTTGGTGTGAACAATAGCAGAAAAACCAATGTTTCAAATCCTTTATTTTCCCAGCATTTGATAATCATTCTACTGAAGAGGGAATTGTCTGGAATTAGGGATCTTGGGGTAAGATATTTTTAAAGCAGAAGAACTTTGTGGGACCAAGCAATTCTATTCCAGTTCTGTAAAACTCCCTGTGTTCAAAATGACGCGTGTATGCCCCCCCTCCCTGCAAAGAAAAAGATGGTACAACTATATTTGATATATAGTCTTGGTCTTTAAGCTTCCTCTTGCATGGACTTAATTAGGGTAGGCAGGTTAAAAGAGAAATCAGAACAGTGAATGACAAACTTGATCTAAATGGTAGGCCTCAATAGTGAAATTAGAGAGCATAATGCACTGTGTTAATACTTGTATTAATATAACTGGAAAGTAGCATGAGAGATTTTTCTTTTTTTCTTTCTGCATAGCTAATCAAGAATAATGAAGGTAACTAGAAAATGAGGTAATATTTTATAAAATTGTGTTGACAAGGTATGATGATATTTGAACTTGAAGCTATGTAATACAATCAGGGGGGGAAAGCCTTTAATCTTTTAAGCTCCAATCCAACAGCGAGGTTTTGTATGGGAAGACTACCTAAACAAAGCTCACCAGGAAAGCAAGACTGAAGCTGGTAAAGGGCCACTTTTTAGTCCTTTTTCAGAGACAGGTTTGGTACTGTTGTACGTGGCTTATATTGTGTTAACAAGGGTGGGTGCCACAAATGCTAGCTGTCACTAGTTCAGGATTTGATTGCACTTTTGCTTTTCTTGACTATTAAGACACACTGACACGCAGTTGCTCTTCCCACTTCTGCCCTTCCTACAGAATTATTTAACTAAAAATAAACAAAAGAAAATGTGAAAATTTAAAAACTAAAGGGATAAAGTATATTTAATATTGTCCGAATATAGTGACATTGAAATTTGCTGGCATTCAGCCCAGCTGACACTACATCTAGATTCATTTTTTTTGGCTACTGACATATCAAGCAATAACATCATGTCTTTTACTCAATGATCTGCATGAGGTTCTTGAATTTCTGATCAAGCTTATGTACTTTAATTTCGAAACACTAAACTCTTCCTTAGCTACCAGGTTGGAATTCATATTATCAGTGTAAAGCTATCCAACAGATGAATTTCAGAAAAGCTGGTAATATAGTTCTGGTACTAAACTTAACATTCTTCATGGGTTTACACTACATTGAATCCAACTACAAACAGATCTTTGTAAGAACAGTGCCATCATTTTTCATTTTCCCTCATCGTCGCTCATCACCTGTACATCTGTGGTTATCAAATTTTAAAAGGGCTTTATGTAAGAAAAACAAAAATAAAACAAAAAAAAACCACACAGAAAAAATAATCATAAAAACCCCAAGAATAAAATGGAATTTTAATTTTTCTAAATATTTTAAAATGAATAACACAATCATGAGTTTATGTATTAATACAGTTATAACAAAAAATGCCAAAAATGACACTGGCATTGTTTGGATTTTTAATTACTGAATGGAACAGTTCATTGTAATAACACTTGTATAGTAAAGGAATAAAACACTAACTTAATGAACGTGTTCATTGTAAATGGTTGTGTATTATAAGACTTCTCCAAAAGAGTTTGTATGTTTATGAAAATCTATTTGTTTCATCTGAAGACCTTGATGTGGTTCTTACCCTAACAGAGTTTAAAATTCACATTCACACTTTTTATATAAATAGTAATAAGTTTAATTATGTAACTAAGTATTTTTATAAAGTATGGCATTGTTGAACTGTTTTGCAGAATTGGTTCAAAATAAATTTCACCTTGATTGCATCTGCTTATTTGAGGGGAGGGGGAAGGTGGGAGGGGGACAAAAGCAGAGTAGCCTTCATACTGAGGGGAATAAAACCTTCATGAGTTTTGGGTGTGTTTTTATCCTCTGTAAACTATTTGAATGTGCTTTCATACAAGGTGCTGAGTTCATGGTGCATAATTGCTGTGGAAAGGGAGACATTTTCTAAAGCAGTCCAGAATTCCTCGGCAGGAATGGGCTCAGAACAATTCTGTCTGGACTTAAAACGAGCCCGCGTGACAGACGGACCTGGGATTCTTGTGAGAGCAAGTCCGGCACAGCCTCTCAGCTGGTGGTCACTGCCACGCTGCAGGGCAAACGCGTTTCTTCTCCCTTGCTTTAGCTGGTGTTAGTAGCCACTGTTGAATTCTGTGCAATTTTTCAGGGAGTTTTTTACGTTTGTTCTTGTGATGGCTGATGTTTTATCTCAACTTCATTGACTGTTACCTGTCTTAATGACCAGTATAACTCAAAAGGCACATCCTGGCATGTATATACAGTGCCAGGGTGGACTGAGGAGCTAGCACTGTTGGAGTTTCAATAATAGAGCACTAAGCCCATTCTTCTATACAAAATCTACAACCTGCAACATTTACTGTATTTTTTTAGTATTTCCTGTAATGTAATCAGCGTTTTACTATTTTTGATGACAAAGCTCATGTCATTTTTGGTAATCTGTACTCCCCCCATTGTCTGTCAGAACCGTGTGATAGCTATCTGCGTGCTAGGCCTGCAGATTGTTTCTGTCATGCGTTGTTTCAAGCTATAGTATTTTAAGAATATTTTCATACTATTTTGGAGTAAACTTCCAAACACAAAAATGTGTACAATCCTACTCTCTAGATAAAATACATCTCTATTTTAGCATAAAGCATTATGAAAAGAACCTTATGTGTTCTTATCCTTGCAACTACTGAACTGTCATTTCACTAGGTTTGTGAGTAGCTCTTACCACTGAAAAGTAGCCTTTGTTTTTGGAGTTTGGGGTTTTGGGTTGTTTTGAGGGGTTTGGGGTTTTTTTTTGGGGGGGGCGGGT